ATTATTTTGTTTCATTAGGTACAGAACGCTGAAGGAAGCGACGATGGCGGGTCGAGTTGTGAAGATGTGCAAGAGAACAAGGTCGACAGTATTGAGGAAAAACAGTATGAAAAGGTACATTACAGCAAGCATGTGTACCCATATAATTATACTACTACTAATTATTACTACTAGCATAGTACAATTCATCCTTTCCCTAAATTGAGTGTTTTGGACCGCAGTATTATCATTATTACACAATGAAACGATCAGCTAAGAAGATGGCCGGAATGAAGAAATCGGCAGTAAAGATTTTTTGTGGTGAATTTGTCGATATTAGTGAGCCCRCAAAAAATTATATCTGATTTTAAATCACATTCTACTATCTTCGACAACGTTGTTGAAGAAAGATTTATACGTAGTTTATCTATGATAATAATTAAACATTTGTATTTTGTAGGATTCCATCACGACTTGCTCTCTTTGCCATAAAGTATACTCAAGACCWTCAACACTTAAAGCTCACATGCGAATTCACACTGGAGAGAAGCCATTTAAATGCAACACGTGTGACAAATCATTTTCCCAAGATGCCAATCTCAAGGCTCACCTACGCGTGCACTCCAAAGAGAAACCATTTAAATGTCAGATATGTCATAGAAGGTTTGTGCAAAAGAAGTCACATACTCAATCAAATAAGATGCGCTATGGTTAAGAATGTCATGATAACAGGTTTTTCTTGTTTCAAAACAGGTTTGCCCAGTCTTCTTCAGTTACCACGCACATGCGCATTCACAGCGGTGAACGCCCCTATAAATGCCAAGTTTGCCTCCGAGGTTTTGCTGATAGCTCAACACTCACCAAGCATCTACGTATTCATACTGGAGAGAAGCCGTACCAGTGCAAAGTCTGTGATATGAAATTCTCGCAATCAGGAAATCTATCCAGGCACATGCGAGTACACAAAAAGAAAAAGATGGCATAAGAAAATGAAAAGAATGCCAATACTTTACACGTCGTTCGTGTTGATTTAATGCGATATATATCTTAATAWATAAACTCATGTTGTGTTGTTAAAAAAGATATATGACATATGGACTCGGTATTTACTTGCTTATTGTTTACATTGTATTATCCAATTTCATCCTTTAATTTTCCTGTTTAACTCACAATTCGTTCGTGCTGACAGTGTGGTTGCATTATCCAACTGCACCTTTCTTCATGGCAAAGTGTGCTTTCTTAGTTTGTAAGGATAATTCCTCACCGATCATAAATCCAATTGGAAAAAAGCCACATTTGTTGAGTTATTAGTAATGTTGTTACTTTTTTTTTCTATCAGCTTTCATTTGCAATTTTCGATGAGAAATCGTTCTAAGTGTCCGTTTTGTATTGTTGTTATTTTATCGTGTAAATCAATAGTACTATTCAATAAAAGTTTGAACAATTCAATAGTGATTATATTAAGAACAGGTCTACCATCTAGAATCACGCAACATGTCATCTATACGTTGGATGGAAAGATCAGTATTTCCTTGAAAAAATATGAAAAAATATGCTGAATTCCTTTAGAGTTTGATCTTGAAGAAGAGGAAATCAACGAGTTTTGGTAACGTTTTGTTGCCTTCCTTCATAGGTGATTTCACAAGGATTTGGGATTTCCATTTGGAAACAAGCCAGAAAAGAAGATAGCGGGAGCGGAAGAACTTTTTAGCTTTCAAGTTTCTTTCCAGTCACGAATCGGATTCATATATTAGCAGCATTTGGCATAGTTAACTTATATCCATATAAAGTATACATCAACCATGGCAAAAACCGTGTATATATAGAGGATATTACATGG